TAGATAATTTTTATTTAAACACGGTGGTTCTATCAGAAATAATATTTACAAATGTTAAATTATTAAGTCTGGTCTACCTAGAAGCCGTGTATGTTTTAACAGAACTATATTTACATTTTTTGTGTGTTTTTTTTATGTAGATCAAATATAATAGATGTGAATATGTAATAGATACAAATTATATTTACAGTGGAATAGTGAATTTACAGGTTGTCAATGCAGAAGTTATGTTTCTTAATTTGTGTCTTAAATTTTGATAAAATTTTCTCCTCTTTAAGTTCATTTGGTAAGAAGTTCCAAAGAAAAGCCGCAGAAACTGCAAAGCTTTTTTTATAACATTCAGTTCGAACATTAGGTATCTGAACATTTAAATCAGATGACCTCAAGTCATAAGTAGTTGAGCCAGACTGCTTCTCAAACATTTCAGATAAATGTGAAGGAGAGTTTCCATTCATAATTTTGTGCATCATCATAGCTTTCTGAACTTTGCGGTTGTGTGCCAGGGTTGACCAACCCAAATCAGAAAAAACATCGCATGTGTGAACGGTTCTGTATGGGGCTCCAGTAATGATACGAGCTGCACGATTTTGCAACTTTTGGAGTTGATCGGCTAGCGTCATATCAATACTGTCCCACACAGTGCTGCAGTAATCAAAGTGAGGTTTTACGATTGTGTAGTATATGTTAATGAGAAGCTGCCGGCTCAAATATGGTTTTGCCTTTTTCATAACGCGTAAATTTGTTATAATTTTATTTTTTATGTTTTGAACATGACCATTCCATGTTAGGTTTTCATCGATTTTGAGCCCTAAGCAAGTAACTTCATGTACCTGCTGGAGAGTTATTCCATCAATTGTTAAGTCAAAATTTTCAGTATGGGTGGCTAATCTTTGTCTTGAGCCAACCATCATAATTTCAGTTTTAACAACATTCAATGTGAGTTTGTTTGCACATAGCCATTCCACAACACACTGAATATCACGTTCTAATAGTGATTTGATTTCTGAGATGCTACAACCTGATACATTGAGGTTTGTATCATCCGCAAACATTATTGTGGAGCTATGGGTAACACAATTTGGTAAATCATTTATGTAAATTAGAAATAGAAGTGGTCCTAAAATAGTTCCTTGTGGGACCCCACAAGAAAGTATTTGTGCGTCTGATAAAACTCCATTCACACTGTACATTTGCATTCGACCACTGAGATAAGATTTAAACCAGTTAATTGTTGGTTGATCTAAGCCAAGATACTGTAATTTATGTACTGTAGATCAGGAGGGAAAGCCACTAGATAGTACGTGGCGTGCTCTCTTTAATGTGCAAAAAAGCCACTAGATAGTACGTGGCGTGCTCTCTTTAATTTCTCTTGTCTTGGATGCGCGCGCGTTAATTGGATCACTTCACTGCGTTTCGAATGACGTGGTTGATGTGCCGTTTAATTAAATTTCAAGTGACGCGAGCCAACAGATCACGACACTTTTGTATATAAAAAGAGCGTGTGAATTAAACAAGTCACATATTATTAGCACTGATGAAGATCCGGGCTTACGGATCGAAAGCTTTGCAGTAATAAATGTAAGTGGTGTTTCCACAAACAAAACCTATTATACTGTAATTTATCCAGTAAAATTTCATGGTCCACAGTATCAAAAGCATTTTTAAGGTCAAGAAATAGGGCTCCGTTGATTAGTTTTCTGTCAATGTTAAAACACCATTCGTTAGTCAAATCTAACATTGCTGTTGCAGTTGAAAACATTGAACGAAATCCCGATTGTTTAGGATTAATCAAATTGTGCTTGTGGACATAGTTCTCTAATTGAATGTAGACAAGTTTCTCAAATATTCTAGCAATTGCAGAAATAACCGAGATAGGCCTATAGTTGTCAGATTCACAGCGCTCTCCTTTTTTAAATATTGGAATCACTTTTGCCTTTTTCCAGTCGCTGGGAAATGTATTACTTAGTAAAGATAAGTTGAAAAGTTTAGCCAATGAATCACTAATATATGGAGCTGAGATTTTCAACTCCAACTGCTTTTGCTGCATCACTAGTTTTTAGTAATGCTTCGACTTGGTGAGAAAAAATCTTTTGAAACCCAAATACTGTATTAGATTTATTTAGGTAATCTGTAAATGATTTCTCGTTGGATGCGGATGGTATTTTTGATGCCAGTTTAGGACCAATTTCTGTGAAATGAGTATTGAGTGTGTTTGCTATATCTTTAGCCTTGGTTATAGACTCAGAAGGCGAAATGTTTATTTTATTTATCTCAGTAATTTTTGCTTTTCTATTCATCAGGTCATTTAGCACTTTCCAAGTACCTTTTGAGTTTCCTGAATTATTTTTCAATTCATTTTTAAAGTAGCATTTTTTGGGGGGTTTTTTTCACCAACTGATTGACTGCATTTCTTTTCACTTTGAATTGCAGCCAGTCAGCTGGTGAATTTGATTTGGTAGCTTTTTTCTTCAACATATCTTTTGCATACAGTTCACGCTTTAATTCAGAATTAATCCAAGGAGATGGTCTGTTGCGTATTCTTTTTGTTCGGCAAGGCGCATGCTTATCAAGAATACCTAGCATTTTCAATTTACATTCTTCCCAAACAATGTTTATGTTGTCTTCACTGTTTGGGGATGGCCATATTGTGTTTTTGATAGGTAGGTAGGTAGGTAGGTAGGTAGGTAGGTAGGTAGGTAGGTAGCCTAGGTAGGTAGGTAGGTAGGTAGGTAGGTAGGTAGATAGATAGATAGATAGATAGATAGATAGATAGATAGATAGATAGATAGATAGATAGATAGATAGATAGATAGATAGATAGATAAGTAGATAGATAGATAGATAGATAAGACTTTAATTCCTTCAATACTGAAGATATGTACAAAATATTTAAAAGCTAAGGTAAAATTAAATTAATTAAGATAAACGAATGCATGTTGGTACTGTTTAAATGTATCTAGTCTAAGCTGTGATTGTACACAATTTGCTGATATGTTTTACTACAATTAAGGCTAGTTCGTCTTTTAGGCTTACATTCCCCCCAAAAATGGGATTAAGTCCACCAAGTAGGCTTACATAAAGGTCTACATCGTCCATGGAATGAAGTGCAGCTAAAACATTGGTCGGAGGTTTATCAGATATTTCTTCCCACAAGTTATTCCGTCAAATGCTCTTGTGTGGACAAATCATAATAAAATGAAAATTGATGTTCCAGATTTGTGCTTGGCATAATGTACACCGAACAATGGGATTGCATGTCGTTTCCGCAAATAATTTTAACCAACTTGGCAATAGATAGTTTCTCGCAAGGGTTACGTTTCGCTAATTCCCACAGGTATAACGGTGTCAAATTCGTATGGATTTCTTTAAAGAAGAAAAGTTCTTCTTTATGCAACATTCCGTTTTTCCACTTTTCGGTTTCATAATTTTTTATTTGGGTTTGAACTATTTTTTTCCATTTGTTTTTGGATGGAATAATTGATTCATGTACAAATGTTGCCAGGTAATCGAATAAGTCGTATTTATTCAGGATACGCAGAATATCAGAGTAAATCCAAGTTTCTGCTTTGTGGGATTTGCGAGATACGAAAATAATCTATTGATAAAAATTGGCTTTGCTGTCATTGTAACGCTTGATAGACTTAAGCGACCAAAGTACATCAGTTTTGCTTTATCTATCTGCCCCGGCCCTCCATAGACCACAACGCCAGACTGCCAAGTGCCGCTTCAGATCGTGTATTAGGTTCGAGACCTTGGATACGCTTCGCGCTATGGCGTAAGCTTCTTTCAATGGATAACAGTTCTTGTTCAGTCATGTTGTTCCAAAGTTCACAGCCGTAAAGAGCAGTGGGAATTACAACAGAGCGCCATAAGTTGGCACCACAAATTGGGTTTAAGGCATTAGGACGTACTCCATGTTTGGAAAGGCATGCCATTGTGGATTTGGTTTTAGCACGAGCTTCAAGCGTTCTTCTCAGGCTAGAAAAGTTACATGATAGCTCAATTCCAACATGTGGCCAAGTTTGTTTTTCTTTTATTGGAACTCCATACAGAGTCCATGATCTTGAATCGGTTAATCTGTTTCGCATTTGTGTAGTTTCACCGAATGTTATTACTGTCGTTTTTGATGGATTAAATTCGAAATGCCATTTGAAACTGTAATTTTCTAAACAGTTGAGCATAACTTGCAAGCATTTAACGCGATTCGACTGCATGGCAATGTCATCAGCAACCAAAATAGGCTTCCATCGGAGGTTGTTAAGCCATAGACTTTCGTTGCATTCATTTAGAACCTGTGGTAAATCATTATTAAATATCATAAAAAGCCATGGCAATAACACGCCACCTTGTCGTACACCTTGAAGAATAGGAAATTCTTTAAAACTGTGGCAATTGATACACCAGGCGGAAATCTTAGTTTAAAGATAAAGAGCAGAGCCCAGCAAATAACTTTAAAACCAAACATAATAAAAGTAAAATTTTAATTAGCTAACGTTTCGTTGTTTACAATACAACATCTTCAGAGCAATCTAAATGAATTTACAGGGTATGGTATATATATATTTACAAAATAATGGTTTAATATTACAAAAACGGTTACATAGTTTGAAAGAATAAATGAGTAGAAAGAAAGGAAAACAACTTATCAGTAACTGGTTAATATTAAGTAAAGATTAATGTTAAGTGCATGGTTAGTATATAGTTAAGGTTAATATTACATAACTAAATAACTCAAGAGGGGTAGATCTAATATTAGCATTAAGGACAGGGTTAAGTTGAGAAATTAATAGGCTTTCACGGATAAGAAGATCCCACTCAGAAGTGCCTGATGATACAATTTTGAAATCAGAAGCGGAGACTGGGTGTTTGTGCATGTGTTTGTGAGCGAGTATACTAGACATGGTTGAGATAGAGCGTTCTTTTCCAGTCAAAGGCGAGACTCCCATATGCTCTGAGATACGTGTGTGAATGTGTCGGCGTGTTTGGCCAACATACAATGCGCTACAGCATTGACACGTGAACTGATACACAACATGTGATCTCAGGGATCACAACATGTGATCCCTTTTTTCATGTGATCTCTCCTTAACTATATACTAATGTTATACACGGAAATAATACACTAGAATTATATGCACGAGTGTTGCACGTGATGATCACATGAAGCATACAATGAACCATTGATGAACAATGCACAGTAGCATATATAATTTAATTAACAGGAAACAATGTGTATGACACTGTCAGGAAACAGTGAGTGTATTAGAGCCAAGCTGACTTTCTGACATCACATGAACAACAACAAGCCCAATTGGCAACACTAATATCGCAAAATACTTTACAGGTGGGTCCTGCCCTCCATCCCACACCATTTTTTGGTACGCCGACACATGACCTTACAGCATTTCTTGGCCACTTTGAACGGTACTCTAATTTCTGTGGGTGGGATTCTAAACAACGTCTACGGGCCCTACCCCTTCACTTACAGGGTAATGCTGGATCTTGGTATGCTAGTCTTAATACTAGTTTTGAGAGTTATGATGCTTTAATTAATGCACTAAAAGAACAGTTTAGTAACCCGGCATCACTGTGGCTCTTGCGTCAACAATTATCATCAAGAAAGCAGAATGAAACTGAGCCTGTAGCTAATTATGCAGCAGAAAGGCCATGTTATATTGGGACAGCCAAAAACTCTGGCAGAGGCAGAAAACCTTGCTCTTCTTAAAGAAGCTGTTTCAGTGAGTACTCCTAATTTGGCACAGTATAAATTTGAATCCCAGCTTCCGATTATATTCCCTATTGGGTTTGGAATGATCATGCGGAAATTCTAACCGAAGTTGTAACTAACGTCTGGAATTTGTCCCTTTCATCACATACTTGGCCAGATTCATGGAAAAGAGCGAATATTATAACCCTCTTGCAAAGGTTGATTTACCAAAGGAAGATGGTGACTTTCGTGGAATAAATATTACACCTGTAATTGCGAGGACCTTCGAAAAGCTCGTTTATAATAGTCAGGTCAAGTCGACAGTTGAGGAAATTTTATCCCCAACGCAATTTGCGTACAGGAAGGGGGGGAGTTGTACAAACGCTCTGTTAACTATTCAGAACAAAGTACTCAGCTTCTTAGATAGAGCGAACTGCAAAGCAGTTAGACTGTTTTCTATGGATTTTAGCAAGGCTTTCGACTCAGTGAAACATTCACTCCTCTCGGAAAAGTTAAAAACTGTGCCACTCAACCCTTATATCATAAATTGGTATTTAAATTTTCTAAAGAATAGAAAGCAAAGAGTCTTTTGTAACGATTTTTGTGGAGAATGGATGGATGTTAATAAGGGTACAACACAGGGGAGCGTAAGTGGCCCCTACCTTTTTAATATTTTCCTAAATTATTTAGAGGTGGACATAGACGGCGAAAACGCTTTTTTTTTAAATATGCGGACGATTCAAATATAATAGTGCCAGTTTGGAGTGAGGGTCCTGATACATCAACAGATACAGTTGGACAATTCCTGAGCTGGTCTGATGATAATTTTATGACTTGTAACCCTGGTAAATGTAAAGAGCTTATCATCCGGAAGAAGGGATATAATGATCAACTTGACAATGTTTATAATATACCCCAATGCAAAGAACTTCCCATTTTAGGTACTACTTTTCAAGACAATCTCAAGTTCACTAGTCATGTGCGAGGTAAATTGGTCAAAGCAAACAAATGCTTGTACGTTATACGAACACTCAGGGCAGAAGGCTATAGCCAATGTGAGATAGATTATCTATTTAAGACCCTAGTAATATCTACTATAACGTTTGGCCTGTCCGTCTACAGTTCTTCTCCAGCCGAACTCAATACTCTACAACGGTTTTTTGACAGATGTTTTAAGCGAAAGTATATATCAGAACCTGTAAATATTAGATATCTTTTAGAAATACAAGACAGAAATATTTTTAAGGCTTCTGTAAATCAGAAGAGTGCCATAGTCGACTTGATACCAAGAAAAAATCCACAAGCTACTCTTTGAGGACAGAGTTTAGTCAGTATCCAAGAGTGAACACGGAACGTTTTAAATTGTCGTTTGCAAATAGATTAATTTTTAACTATAACCTATTCATATGATGTAAACTTTACTAATCTATTCTTAATATGTACTTGTAACATAAGATATGTATTTTTATCTTTTGATCTATTAAAAAGACTTTTGAATTGAATTTTGAATTAGTTATTAAAAGTTTAGAGGCACTTGCAAGCGACAAACAGCAAAATCAAGCACCAAATATAGCTGCTTACAGTAATTATTTGAAACCTGGGATACTTGATCAGGAAGTACATAATTTCAACCTTGGTCAATACCGTTCACGCCATCCCTCACCACCTGGCTCAATGCATGACTCAAATAACATAGCAAAATTAATTCGAGAGGAAGTGCGGCGACAAACACAATACCTCACCCAAACAAACCGCCCATCAAGTTCTGGTGTTCCTTCTAACCGTAACCGTCGCACAACTGATGGCTTATCCATATGCAACAAATGCAATAAAGTTGGCCATATTGCTCGTAACTGTAGGGCTGGAGGAATACAACATCAGCCCCCACAAGTTTCTCAGCATAATTTTCACATCCGTCCTGGCATGCAACGTCAATTTTCATCTCAGTTTAATTCATATGCTCGTCCTGGCATGCAACACCAGCCTGTACAGAGACCCCAATTTAATTCAAACATACATCCTGATGCTCCCACATTCAATCCACAACAAGGGCGAACTGCCAACAACCCATTTAATGCGGAATCGGGAAACTAATGGCTGCTTCTTTATACCGGGACGATAGGGAAGCAATGATTTTTGAAGTATTTGAGAAGTCCAAATGTCTCGAAATGTTTAATGAAAATGTTGTTGAAAATTTACCTGACAAATTTAATGATGTATCAGATATGCTAATTAATATAGAAGAAAAAGGGCAGCATGATTTTGACAGCCCCCATGTCCTGTTGAAACAAGTGTGAATATACATCCTGATCTTGTAGATATTGATTTTAGTTTACCTGCAGGCAAGTCACTTAGCGTATTATGTGAGGAGAATAACTCCTCTGGCCTACCGAAGATAAATTGTGATACATTGACAACAAATGTAAACCCAGTGAGTCAAATGTGTAAATGTAGTTTTGAGGTGACCGCGTCACCATGTGTAAATGTACCACAGCAAGTCAAATTTAGTGCTAGAGAACAATTTCTCTTACCTCATACAATAGATGTACCAGTCTGTAATGATCTAGTAGACCTGTCATATGAAGTTAATAAAGAAACAAGTAAGGAAGCAAGTGTAGTTGTTTTGAATTCTGACCTGGAAGGCCTGTCATATCCTGTTCCAAAAACCTCTGTGCACGCTGTTAATTCTATTTCATTTGAGTTTCGCAATAATTGTCCATTCTTGCAAGGTCAAGTAAGTGGTATACCTACGTCTATTTTATGCGACACTGGAGCATCTGTCACCACGATTAGTGAGAAGTTATTTAACAAATTCCCTAATTGCAAGAAAATGCCTAGCGGTAAAACATTTCAACAAACTATTAGAACTGTCAGTGGTGAAAACATGCCCATCAATGGTGTGGCATTAGTTCCCTTTCAAATTGGTGAGTATGACTATACATTTTATGCATACATCATAGAAAATTTAACTTATGATGCAATTCTTGGGTCTGACTTCCTAGGTCATTATCAAGGTGTTATCGATTTTGACAACCAGTCTCTTGAATTATTGCCACCAAGTGAAAAGTCACCACCTTACCCAGCATTAAATCTTTTGTGTTCAGTACATGCATATAAAACATGTGTTTTACCACCAAATACAGAATCAGTCATTCCAACAACATTAAAATGCAACATAGATCTCCCAACAGATGGTTTAGTAGGTATTATTGAGTCTAACCCCACATTAGCAGAACGTTACCAGGTTTGCGGTGCTGCGACACTTGTTAGAGTAACAGAAGGGTTTACTGTTCCATTCCGCATTATTAACCCAACATCACAGCCTGTAACTATTTATCGCTGCACTAACCTAGGTCAGTTTTCGTCTAACGAAGCACCACAGATCGTGTCTGTTATCAATATCAATAATGTACCAGAGGATAAGTCCCAACATGCTAGCTTACTATTGGAATCAATAAATCTTAGTAGCTCAGATCTTGATGATTAACAACAGGCACAATTAAATCAGTTGTTGCAAGATAATCATGACGTATTTGCACTTAAAGATGACGAACTAGGTCAAACCTCACTGGTAGAGCACCATATTGACACTGGTAATGCCCGACCAATTTATCGACAACCATATCGTGTGTCACCCGCAGTAAGAACAAGTATCGATAATCATGTACATGAAATGCTTGATCAAGGTATTATCCAGCCTTCAGTAAGCCCGTGGGCAGCCCCTGTAGTTCTAGTACGAAAAAAAGCTAGACGGCACTGAACGTTTTTGTGTTGACTACCGACAGTTAAATAAAGTCACTCAGCGAGATTCTCATCCGATTCCTCATGTACAAGATACTCTTGATTGTTTGCATGGTACTTCATATTTTTCTTGTCTTGACCTGCGATCAGGCTATTGGCAAGTCGAAGTCGATGACGAATCAAAACCAAAAACTGCTTTTGCGACACATAGCGGGCTATATGAATTTCGTAGAATGCCCTTCGGGTTAGCCAATGCCCCGTCAACATTCCAACGCTTAATGCACGCTGTTTTACGTGGCCTCCAGTACCAAATTTGCTTAGTGTATTTAGATGACATTATAATCTATTCGCGCTCATTCGACGATCACTTAGACCATCTAAATGATGTTTTTAGTAGGCTCCGGTCTGCGAATGTTAAACTTAAGCCTAGCAAGTGCTCATTTGCGCGCTCCACTGTGGAATATCTCGGACATGTTGTCTCTCGCGATGGTATCCGACCAGACCCTAGTAAAATTGCAGCAGTCGAAAACTTTCCAGTTCCTCGATGCGTTCGCGATGTTAGAAGTTTTTTAGGCTTAGCAAACTACTACCGTAGATTCATCAAAAACTTTGCATCAATAGCATCGCCACTTAACAAGCTTACGCATAAAAATGTACGTTTTTATTGGGACGAGTCTTGTGCAAAAGCGTTTCACACCCTAAAATCCTGCCTGACATCAGCACCAATTTTAGCGTACCCCGATTTCTCCCTGCCATTCGAGTTGAACACCGACGCTTCGTCGACTGGTATTGGTTTTGCATTATGTCAAACTCAAGATGGCAAAAGTCGTGCTATCGCATATGGCGGTTGTGATTTAAACACTGCGGAACGTAACTACAGTACAACTGAACGGGAAGCTCTAGCTATCGTTGAAGGCATTAAGAAATTCCGCAATTATCTGCATGATCGAAAGTTCGTAATTCATACAGACCACCACGCCCTCCGTTGGTTGATGTCAATTAAGGATCCAAGTGGTCGACTTGCGCGTTGGGCTTTATTGCTACAACAATACGATTTCACCATCGAATATAGATCCGGCAAGCAGAACTTAGATGCAGATGCTCTTTCTCGCCGTTCGTATGGTACACAGCTTCACATTGGCGCATACGATTTACCTGGGGTACCAATTGACCGTATTCGTGAATTACAACGCCAAGATGCTGAACTCTCCGATCTCATCACCTTCTTGGAAACCGAAGCACTTCCATCTAACAACAAAAGAGCTCGCTCGTTCGTACTTTATGGCGACAAATTTTACCTGGATGACAATGGTTTGCTATTCTCCCTTTGGACACCCAGTAAACGTACCCAACGTGACGTATGCTCACAACTTGTAATTCCAGACGCTTTAAAGCATGAAGTTTTGGTTCGGGCTCACGATGATGTTACCGCTTGTCATCTTGGTACGCAGAAGACATATGGGAAAATCCGCACTCGTTACTACTGGCGTAATATGTTCCGGGATATTGACAGATGGTGCAAAAGCTGCGTCGATTGTGCAATGAAGAAATCGCCTCGTAACAGACATAACGCTCCTCTTTTGCCAATTCCAGTAGAAAACGCTTTCGATCGCCTTGCAGTTGACTGTTTGGGACCATTCCCACTTTCAACTGCTGGAAACCGTTATGTCGTTGTCTTTACAGAATACCTCACTCGCTGGCCAGAGGCGTTCGCCGTCCCTACTACAGATGCTCCAACCATTTCTCGTCTCCTAGTTAACCATATCGTCCTTACACATGGCGCTCCTCGAACTTTATTATCGGATCGCGGAACTAACTTCCTATCATCACTTGTTAGATCGGTCTGTGAACTTCTCAACACCAAAAAAGTGAATACAACAGCGTACCATCCACAAACAGACGGTCTTGTTGAAAGATTCAACCACACACTTTGTCAATCCGTGTCAATGTATGTCAGTCGTGATCAAAAAGACTGGGACACCCATCTACCAGCGATACTCTTTGGTTTTCGCGTTAGTCCCCAGGAGACCACCGGAGATAGTCCATTCTATTTACTTTACGGACGTGAGCCAAGACTCCCCATCGATGTTTCTCTTCTTCCTCCGTCCAACGTCACAAAGTCTGTCAAGAAACACAGAGCGCGCATAGTCCAAACAATAGACGAAGCTCATGCTATTGCTCGCGCAAACATCCAGCGAACACAGCAATCCATGAAAGCCCGTTATGATCGTTCAGCCTGTGAATCCAAATTTATGCTTGGAGATCGAGTATGGGTATATACACCAAAGACAAAGAAAGGTCTTTCACGTAAACTTATGCATCATTGGCATGGACCATTCCGTATCATAGAAAAATGCTCACCAGTCCACTTCAAACTGCGAACCTGCGACAATCGCCTCGTCTCCATTACTGTCCATGCAAATAGAATGAAGCCTTACTACGATCCAGATTCGCGTCCTCAGACTCCTCCGAATATTGAAATGCCAGATGAACCACCCATTCCTGAAGACGAACTTCCTGACGACGCGCTTGCTGACAATACACCGGTCCATGAGCCCAGCATCGACCAATCTGTTCCGGCAGACACATCAGTTGTAGAAGAAAATTTGGAAACATATAATATAGAACATATCATTAAAGAGCGTAAGCGCAAGGGTAAGAAACAATTTTTAGTTAAGTGGGAAGGGTATGACCCTGAGCATAATTCATGGGTAGACGAGACTGACATTATTCACCTTGAACAAAACAACAACTAACGTACGATACCATCTCAAGGCTTTTAACCTCTGGGACGACTTGTTTTGTGATCCGGATGTTCAGGATCTCATGCTTGTGTTGTCCAGACTTCGGCTGTGAACTATTTAGCCTCGCATGTACCCCTCGTTCGGACACGTTATAATTGTGTGTGAAGTATAATTAGATGTCGCACTATGTGGGAAGTTGAAAGTGAATGATGAGAAAAAGAATGTAAAATAGGCTTTGTTATTGCTCGCATGTACCCCTCGTTCGGACACGTTATAATTGTGTGTGAAGTATAATTAGATGTCGCACTATGTGGGAAGTTGAAAGTGAATGATGAGAAAAAGAATGTAAAATAGGCCCTTTGTTATTGTTTTGTTATTGTTTTGTTATTGTTTTGTTATTGTTTGTTTTGTTATTGTCCCTTCCATGACACAACTATGTTCTTTTTCCTTAATATTTGGTTCAAGTCAAATTTCACATGCCTTTGCAATTAGGTGAGTATTTATCTGTAATCAATATACGGATACAGTTTCAGTTAAAGTTCTCAACAGTGGAATACAACGATGGTTGCACATGCAAAGAAATGTACAATTACTGAAAGACTGCTAACCTTGAAATCAAGATCATATTGAACTTATTTAATTGTAATAACTTTGAAAACCGGGAGGTTTTCACTTAAAGGAGAGAGATATGTTATACACGGAAATAATACACTAGAATTATATGCACGAGTGTTGCACGTGATGATCACATGAAGAATACAATGAACCATTGATGAACAATGCACAATAGCATAATTTAATTAACAGGAAACAATGTGTATGACACTGTCAGGAAACAGTGAGTGTATTAGAGTCTTAGTGTCAGAGTAGAGCTGACTGTAGTCAGAGCGTTTGTATCTATCAAAAGCTACGCACAGACGCACACAATATTCAAAATATATATATGTGATAAAAGAAACCGTGTTGGTGTCAGTGATATTGATATTCTTGTTGTTGAGCTATTACCCCTACGGCCCCGACGATCCTGCTGTATTAGTCTGAATATAACCAAGAAAAGGGGTCGTATAACACTAACCATGCACTTAACATTAATCTTTACTTATTAACCAGTTACTGATAAGTTGTTTTCCTTTCTTTCTACTCATTTCTTCTTTCAAACTATGTAACCGTTTTTGTAATATTAAACCATTATTTTGTAAATATATATATACCATACCCTGTAAATTCATTTAGATTGCTCTGAAGATGTTGTATTGTAAACAACGAAACGTTAGCTAATTAAAATTTTACTTTTATTATGTTTGGTTTTAAAGTTATTTGCTGGGCTCTGCTCTTTATCTTTAGAATAGGAAATTCGCTAGACGGTGCTCCATCAATTATGACACGACTTGTGAGCTTGCTGTACCAGTTTCTTAGCAGTCTCCAGGTTTTTCCTTGAATACCGAGATTGAACATTTTATAAAACATTCCAGAGATCCACACAGTATCAAATGCCTTTGCTGTGTCCAAGAAGCAGCCATAGACTTTGCTTCCGTTTTCAATGTTGTGTAAAACAGCTTCTTGTAGTGACATTGTAGCATCTAGGCAGCTTTTTCCTGCCTGATATGCGTATTGCAGGTTGTTCGGAAATCCTTTCGCACCAAAGAAGGGCATCCATCTGTTAAGTATCAGTCTTTCAAAAATTTTTCCGATAACATTCAGCAACGTGATGCCTCTGTAATTGTCTTTATTATGCCTATCTTTCTTGTTAGTTTTATACAGAGATATAATGTCACCAACAGCTAGAACATTAGGAATTTCCTCCATTTCTCTAATGGCATTGAGTATTTCAGTGAGAACCTTCATGACTGCTTGACCCCCGTACTTAACATGTACATAATACAGACCATCAGGTCCGCATGCCTTTCGATTCGGTAACTGTGCACACGTACTGCTAACTTCGTTAAGCGTAAAGGCAGCGTCCAGGGCATCGTAACTCGCATTTAGACTTTCAATTTCATAATCTGCCAAGCAATTTTCAACATAGGAAGTAAACTTTGCGTCAAAATTTGAATTATATTTAAGCTCGTACAAATCTGAATAATGATCCTTCCACACTTCGCGTAACTCGTTCGGGTCATTTATAGTCTTTCCGTATATTTTCAAACTATATGATTGTAGTCCTCTATCCTTGCGTCGTGTTGACATGGTGCGTTGAAATGCACCTCTGTCTTGCTCAAAAATGTTTTCAAATCTTTCATACTCTTTGGATTCATATTCATAGGCTTTTCATCTAAGCTGCTTTCTAAAATCACGTTTGGCTTGCTTGTAAGCACGAAAAAATGAGTTATTAGGATCCCGCGGACGTCCCTGCGTTATCCAAATCTTGCGAAAGTGACGACACTTTTTGTGCAGAGGTTTCAAACCTTCTTTCCAGTAAGGCTTAAGGTGACTTTTAAATTTTAATTTTGGGATCGATTGATCAGCAGATGATTTAAGCGCAGTTGTTACATCTGGTAGTATATCGTCTATTGATGAAATATCAACGTACGAACAATCTTCAAACTGTAAAGTGTCAAGAGCAGGAGTTACATTTAATTCATAAGCTTGCCTAACTGAAGGTACAGCGATCATTTTCCATGCTGGAGAAGGCTTCTGTATGGAATTGTTCAATTTATTTGTTGCACATACTTTATAGCAGAAAATTGGTCGATGAAATGAAAGATTTCCACAATCATCGTCAGATACAAGACAAGATTTGACAAGGTCTATGTGATCATTCCTAATGAGAATATGGTCTACTGTTGTTTTAGCTAGTCCATTGTTGCTATAAAACGTTTCAATTGGTCCTGTACAAAACAATTGTGAATTGACAGAGATCAATGATAGTCTCTTCATTATTCTTTTGAAATGTGTTCCTCTAATGTTTATGTCTGCAAAGCTTCTAGGTCCCCCGAAGAGCCTATGTGGCAATTGAAGTCACCAAGAACCATAAAGGACCCGCGATTGGAAAGTTCATTAGTGACGTCCTCTAGGGATTCAAGAGTTTCTTTATAGACAGGAAGGGGTAGGTTAGACGAGGGAAAATATACTCCAATAATATAGAAATTGTATTTGTCCAAGGTTTTAAAATTAATGGCTACAATTCGGTCATTTCCTATTTCTTCTAGTATTTCTACGCTTGCGTTTAATGATTTTCTCCAAAAAATAGCAATGCCCCCTTTGCCTCTCCGCCATAGTGAATTTAAGTCCAAATTGCTACTGCATCTTCCCCAACCCGTAACGTTTTGGTGTAATGTTTGAATAATTGATATAAAATCAGGATAAAGCCAGTGTTCTTGGATAACTAATATGTCTGTATTATTTAAGCATTGCTCTATATATGGTATATTGCAAATCAGTCCGCCCACATTTAGCGTCGCAATACGCATATTGTCTTTGTTTACACTATTCATAGGATTGATTAGAGTTGGTTTGTCTTGATTTATAGTATCAAGTTTATTTTTCGTTAACCAAGGTTTACAAGACACAAAAGCTGGCCAGAAATCTTTTTGAGATATAACAGAACAATCTTTTGTATTTACATTCAATTTGACCGAAATAGTCCCCTTTCGCCGACTTGGAAATACTTTCAATTGAGTGGGCTGGATCTCTCTCTTTTCTAGAAAACCAATTATGGTTTCATAGGTTACGGTGTCAGAAATTCCACTCAAAAAGAATTTTCTAACATGTCTACGTTTACGTTTAACGCCGACAAAGCCATCACCATCAGCTTCCGAAGTTAAATCTACATTCGGGACATGCTCTGGCGCTTTTGATAAATTAGGCTGAAGTTTGTTTTGATTTGGCTGAATGTTTAGATGCCGACTAGTATCTGAATTTGTATGTACATTGTCTTCATCAACAATAGCGTTGACTACAGACTTGTTAGTTACATTACCATTTGTCATATTGGATGCGGCATTGTTTTTTGTTTTTTCAATAGATTCAATCGAAGGTGATTTGCCTGGTGTTGGCCTAGCCGTACTAATTAACAGGGGAGTAGTGTTTTTTGAACTGGTTACGCCGTTTGCATCGTTATTTTTTGGTTTATTGTTGGGGTTCATCGTCGCTTCTGAATAAGTTTGGCGTGCTTCTTTATTTAAATTTGGTGCTCGCTTTTCGAGTGTCAATAAGCGAGATTTTAATGTTAAATTTTCAGATTTCAAATGATTTATTTCGCTCTCTTGTTTCTGAATAGTTTTTTCCTTTTGAGATAACTGCGCTAAAATATCATTTATATCATGAGTAAATTTCTCCTTCAAAATAAACACATCTGCTTCGATAGAAGCTATACGAGCGGAGCAGTGTTTGTGTGTTAAATGCGACTCTAAACCAGACATATCACTTCGCCCTTGCGTAGCATTAAGAATGGGAATCCCAAATATTTTCTCAGCAATGTTATCACTACTATCACTCACTGTTATAATGTTTTCAGGTAAACAGTCATCTAGCTCCAGATCTAAACATAGATTTAATAGCAGGTTCAACCACCCCAGTATCCAAACATACCATTAGTTGCCATATATCTTCGGCTAAACGTTCTTCAAGTGTTGAAAACGTACTGTTTCCCTTAGGCTTTCTTCTTGTATACATATCCCCTTGCGGAAAATGAGAGACTTGCTGGCATTCCGAGCATAGCTTATACTTGAATTCAGTTAACGTTGACACGGTTCCAATTTCTAACAACTTCTCAACTATTTTATCCTTTGGACGATCCTTCCAAGTTTCATAAAAGCTATCAAAGGGTAATGACAGATTCGACGCGTCGTTATTTCGAGTTCTGCAGTGTCAAAACGTGGCGCGCAGGTTGCCAAATACCACTACAAAGTTAATAATCTATTCACTGCAGCAAAAGTCTTGTAAAAAGACAACTTATAATTCAATAAGGACGTGGCTCAAATGTCATGACCGTCCGCCATTTTGCAACCTGATATAGAATAGATAGATAGATAGATAGATAGATAGATAGAGATAGATATAGAGACACGTAGAGATAGATAGATAGATATATTGATTTTTTATACTGTTAGAACTGGACAAGGAGTTTCAATAAAATAGATTTCGCTGAATTCAGAAAGCCTTAACTTAAATTTTGATATAGGCTATGACTTGAATATTTGAGCAATATTGAATGAAATACTACAGTTTCATTTCGAAGAACCATTTTTGAAAATGCTTAAAATTACATTAAATCGGGCTATCAAATTAACATTTAATTTAATGCTGTTCTTGTCAACACAATAATATTTACACATTCGATGATTTATTCATCTGAAAAAGCATATCCTTGAACACCTACACAAAGTCGTGCTCTGTTAACCATGCCAGAAAAAGCGCTTTATATCATTTGTGCATCTGAACTTTGGCACGCTAAGATAACTGCCTGCCGGAGATGTCTCAAATTCCTAGGCTGCTGCTCATGCGGGACGTTCCAGATTTGTTGCTTCATTTCGAACTTTGGCATTCGAATTTTTCATTTCCCGCAAGGCCCAGAGGTAAAAATATTTTATGTAAACCATAATAAAATAATACAAGATTGAAGCTAACTTCTTTAAAATTTTCAATACCCTGAAAAAATAGCAAATGTCTTCAAAGAAATTTAATAAGCCGTTTTAGTAGATTTTTTCGGCAATTTTCAATTTTCAATTTTCACTAATATATATATATATATATATATATTGTTATGGTGCGTTATTTATGCGTCAAATATATGTTCCAATTAGGTATATTTTCAACCTTTAGGCTTCGGGTTCAAATTATATTAACGCTACCGTAACACAAATAGCATGAAACCTTATACCTTTTATATATTTTATTTACTTTCAACAATATGAATTAGCGTCTCTATAATGTTATAATAATATAGTAATCTTAATATATCAACTTATCTCTCTATTTGTTTGAGCTGAGCACAACTTTGAATCTTTATTCTTTATACTTTGTATTCCGTCTTCTTTAATAATAATTATTCCACAATATTCCAATGTTCTTCAGTTTACTTGACGAGGCTTAATTATCTAGCCTTTTAATTATATACTTCAGCCTTTGTTGGCTTATGAAGTATTTTAGCCTAAATGGCTCTTCTCACTTCACTCTCCGCTCTCGACTCTCAGGTTGTGCTCAGCTTTTATAATAAATTTTAGAGGAAGAAATCTGTAACTATGACTAATTTCCTCTACGCAATATGTTTGTCAAAGCAAGTTCCAGCAGTGTTTATCAACCACAAAACTATGTCCTGTTTGCGTGGTTTGTGGTACTAGGCGTTTCCCGTGGTTCTTTAATCTCTCTAAATATTTGCTTATTCATGCGAGGAAGGTTGCCTAAGGTCTTCCTCTTATAATTATAACAGTATACTGAATATATAGTATTGAATACAGTATTGAATATATTAAATAACATGGTATAACACTGTCATGTTACAATGCACTATTCACCTCCGGACAAAAACAAAACGATATATATATATATACTTCCTTTTATAATTATAACAGTATACTGAATATATAGTAATGAATATAGTATTGAATATATTAAATAACATGGTATAACACTGCCATGTTACAATATATATATAGGATATATATATATATATATATATATATATATATATATATATATATTAGTGCTTTCCTGTTGGCGATTTTATATGCGTTTGGGCAGTTTTAGGCGGTTTAAGAGAACTTTGGTCAATTAATTTTGACCTGCGATTTAAGGCGAGGAGTTACCACCCCAGAGTAGGCCGTCATATGTCAATACACTATGTGTATCAATCAGAGACACTATCTTGATCAATTTGCGATAGGATCTCCAAAGAAAGTACATGTGCAGACAACATGAAACTTTAGACAGTCACTGCAGAAAATTTCACAATCTGTTATCAAACTTATATCACAGAAGTGGTAAAGGACATATATGTGACAACTGAATAGTACCGTTTGTAAATATTTTGGCCAGGGGAGGGTATTTATTTTTTAATTGATAGTTGGGGTTGGGTAATCAGGTTTTTTTTGCTTTTTAGCCTAATGGTTGGGTCAGCAAAATTTTTGCCACGAAAAACAATTCTCTTCGGTGCCACCCCCCGCCATAAATAATGACCGGTCCCTTATATACATACCTTCGCAGACTGTACCATTGCCGCTGTAACCTGAATTGCATGTACAGTTAAAGGAATTGTCTTCGTTTGCTGTACACTCGGCATTGCCGTCACAATTGTCGTGAGCACATGGATCAAATACTATAAAAATACATAATGTTATGTGAGCACATGGATCAATTACTATAGAAGTCCCAGGAGTAAGACGTGCTTTCTTTTGCTCAGTCTAATCTTTCAAATCATTGGAAATTGCCAATTTCTACAAATAATTTCGCTTTATTTGTTGTGAATCTCTACGTTATTATGCCTCCGAAGAAGAAGAATATAAAACCGAACGACAGTTCAGTTAAAACCGAACGACAGTTAACGATGAGGAAGCTGAAACTACGCCAGTCGCTAACGTCAACTTAATTGGCTACACTGCAAAGTAGCCTAGAAGCATTAATGACAATCGTATGAAACAGCAGATTAATCAAATGAACGATCTTTTCACAAAGCACTCTAACTCGACAAAAGTGGTTTTAACCGAAATAAAATCAAGCCAACAATTTCTCGGTCAAGCTGCATGGCTAACACGATTAATGAAGTAAGGGTGGAGAACAAAAAACTACAAAAAGTCACCGATGACCTACAACGTCGTTTTTACGATCTTGAAAACAGTTGCCTTGAGTCAGATACTGCAATCGAAAATCTTCGACAGTATTCACGTCGGGATACACTTGAAATACATGGCATCCCAGTAGTTGAAGGGGAAAATACAAATGATATTGTTGTAAAAGTCGCTAAGATGGCCGCCCCAGAGCATAACTTTAATGAACCTATGTGATCTATAAGCCACCGGCTCCCCTCAAAGCGAGGTGGTATTCTGGCAATTATTTCTAATTTGTCCGTGATTTAGGACGTACGGGATTTAATCTATAACAAGCGACGAAATTTGAGCTTCCAAACCATCCAAGACCTCGGTTTCGACATTGCTAGTCGTATTTATGTCAACGAAAGCTTGACTGCCCAAAGCCGGGCGATATTCGCCGAAGTGAAAAAGTTCCGCAACCACCATGGTTTCAAATATATATGGACAAGGAATGGGAAAGTGCATCTAAAGATGAGCGATAGTCAGCAAGCGAAATCTCACATTTTCAACTCCATGCAAGAATACGACGACTTTAAGAGCAGATTCAACAATACCAGTGGCATGCAATGACTAATTTTTTATTCCTATATCCTGCAGATAAGTTATTTTATTTTTATTTAACATTATAGACAATAGTTACACTTTGACTCCCTCAGCAGTGTTCTTCCTTTCTATACGCTAGATGATGATAGCTTTGAATTAGAGTTATTTGAAATGCAGCATGGTCGCGCGAATTTTGAAGCCGAAAGAATAGTGAATTTAAAATGTAATCAATTGCATTTCAAGAATCAAAATAATTGGACTCTAACATAGACCCGGAACGAAACTCTGATTAATACTTCATCCGGCACAAAAACTAACCAATGTTGTCTTTCTGTTACGCATTTGAATATACTTAGTTTAGGACGGAATCTAGGTTGTCTACAGAATTTGATTTCATGCCTGAATTTTATGTTCTCGGTAATTGAAATTTCGGAAACTTGGCTTCAAGATTCAACCCATCATGTTGATATTAACGAGTTCAATTCCGTGCACAATCATCGGTCTGAAAGAACTGGAGGTGGTGTTGGCCTGTATATCGCTTCTGCACTTGAATTCAAAACACGGGCGACTTGTGTTTCGAAGACAATGCAATTGCTGAATCTTTATTTGTTGAAATTTTTAATCCTAAGGGAAAAAATTATATCATAGGAGTGATGGCTATAGACCACCTAACCATAAATGTGGCCAATTTCATCAGTGAACTAAATTCTTTGATCAGGAAAATCTCGAGAGATAACAAAAATTGTTACTTCATGGATGATTTCAATCGGGACTTATTGGACAACAGTTCTCATCAATTTACAAATGAATTTTTGCAGGGTTCCAATTGGCATTTTGCTTGTGCCTGGGGTACAGTATTAAAAAAAAATTAATAGCCCAATTTTCAAGTTTTCAAGTACCCCCCTAATACTTTTTTTGCGAGACGCTTATAAGGTTAGCGCAAATGAATTAATGATACATGTTTTGATATGTATTTAGTAATATATGGCTGTAAAGTATAGTCCATTTTACAGGTTTTGATACCAGTACTGATGGAAATTGGCATGACTGCACTATAAAAACATTATAATTAGTGACAATTGCAATACAATTACAATACACGCAATTTTAACATTTCTTGTATTGGTAATGCATATCTTTATAAAATTGCCGTTCTAAGTTCTTTTGAAAATCTATACTAGACAATTTGCATGTTAGCAAAGCATCAGGGGAAAAGTGGTGACAATAAATATTGTGACGTTATAAAGTTACCGTTCTAAAGGTCAAGTGCAGCTTAGAGATGAGTGTGATATACTTTTACAATTCATGTATAGAGTTTTATATAGACGTTGGTTTATATAATAAAAACTCTAGTTTTAGTACTCAAACTAAAAAACAAGAACACGCCTATGCCCACATTATTAGAAACAACAGCTTTAAAAACAACACCGAAGAATCCAATTTAGTTGATGACTACGTATCTCGTAAAAAATGCCAAACATGAATCACAATTCGTCATTGCGTTATTTGCGTAAATAATCATTGCCTCAATAAGTGAGTGATAAGCATGATAACTAATATTCAGTACATTGTACTATTGGTAGCTGCACTGAATACAAAGAATATAATGTATTTCTTGCTTTTTTTCTGATTACACCAATGTTATTGCGACAGATTTGCGCAAATGTAATTTGATATCACGCATTGTAATTATATAAATGCAAACTGTCTAGTTTTCTGGACGTGAGAAGGTGAAGAAGACTGGGAACGTCCTAGTTTTTTGTGCGCAGGGGTCTGAGAACGTCCTAGAATGACCTTATTTGGAAAAAAACTAGGCTGTTGTCGTCAAAAACTAGGACGTTCCCAGACTCCAAAATACCAATCGCGCGTAATGACGTTGTTTTAATCTAAATCTAGACATATTGACAGAATAAAAACATTCCTAAAACAGAGATTATTAATATAATACGGAAACAGCTTTACATAGCGTATTAAAATAGCAGAATATTTCGAAATTAAGCACAATAATGTAGAATACACATACACAACACAAACTGACAACCGATTTTGTGACCTATATCAGAGCGTCCTAGTTTACGCTTTCTGGTTGCCTAGTTTTTCAATTTTTACCATTTTTTTGCCTAAAATTGGAAAATTTATGAGATTGGGTTCCCAGGCACAACTGGTCTCATTTGGAACCTTGATTTTTGGACATAATGCATGCTAGTTCGTTTTCTCCTCTAATTACACTCCCTACTAGATTAACGTCACACCCCGCAACACTTATTGATAATATATTCACCAACAACTTGGGAAAATATGCCATCAGTGGCCTAATCTTGTCAGATATTTCCGATTATTTGCCTATATTTGCTATCGCACATGATATAATGATCTAAAAATAGGTACGCGGTGCGTACATGTTGCAAGCCATTCGAGCATAGTTGACACAGCAGATAAGGCGTGATAAAGCAACGCTGGGACTTGCCTGGGAGAACGATACAACCCAGCTAACCTAGTCATATTTGGATGAACTCATTTGGCTGTTTACAAGTGTAGTACAAATGCTCTCTTTTCGCTGTTTACTGCGTATTGCGCATTGTGCGTATACCGAGAATACATTTCACCTGACCAACGTGTCACTAGATTTGCTCCAAGTCTCTTTTTCATTGTCATATAGTATCGATGCACTATAGTGTACATTACATGACGTAGTACCGAGGGGCGTAGCGAGAAAGAGAGACTTGTCAACTTCGGAAAATCTCGGTTCAAAACTGAACCGAAAATGCAAGACTTGCTTTAATTTAATTGTTTTCTGTCAGTGTTTATATATATATATTGATCTAGCACTGTGTAAATAACATGAGTTCCATTATAGTAAATAATACAGAATGAAATTGAAGGAAAATCATTAAAGCAAGTCTTGCATTTTCGGTTCAGTTTCTAACCGAGATTTTCCGAAGTTGACATAGCCTGAGTATCAGCCCTCGGCTACACGGCAAAAAACGCCGAGCCCGCTGCTCAACAGGATTGAACAATGTTTTGCTGCCCACGTTGTTCACAATTGTCAACAGTATTGAACAATACTGTTGAGCCTGAATCGGGTGTAACAATATTGTTCAATATTGTTGACATCTATGAACAATATGGGCAGTAGCCTGCGTAGCAGACGTTTAGCTGACAGGCCTGTGAAGAAGAAACACCTGCCCAAATGGATATGACAAATTTGTTTAAGTCCATTAAGGATGATTGACGTTTTGTAATTAGCACCTTCACCCATTATCCAATCATAGTCGAGATTTATATTTAACATCATGCATGCTTTTTGCTCAGCAACTACGGAGACTTTGAAGAGATTTTATGCACTATTTAAAACACGAGCAGCAATAGTCTAGGACCTGTATATGAGTTTGTATGCGTTTCATTTACCACAGGTAATCTCAACTGTTTTAGGGTAAAATGACCATGGCTGTCAACATGGCATATGTGCCAAAACCTGAATCCTGGACGAAAGTCCTGAAAATGACCCCGCCCTGAAACGGCAGTGCCGACATAGCTCTAACTTCCGAAAAGCAAAAGCGACAGCCTTTCTGAAGTGCTTATAGTGTTTAGAAGAGATCGGAAGAGCGTCGGTTATTGGAAGGATGACCATTCATCACCCCAGGTAAATTGCTGATTATGCAGAAAATAACAAATATACATGGCAGAAATTAAATATCCTTATTTCCTAAAAAAAAATTGCCATGGGATGAAAAACTATGCTTAATTTAATATAAGTATTGTAGTTTTCATAAGGATAGTCACTGTTTTCTATAAATATAATATATTTTATTTCACTTACCCCCCACGAAAACACGATTTCAGCCATATTTTGCCGTCTTGTTCGCTTTATATCGCCGTGTCTCGCAAATAACATCCAGTTGTTATACTTTTACATAATGGCAAATGGCTATAAAGGAGATTTCAACCAAGTTTCGGCAAGTTTTGGAGCAGTGCAGTGTATTTTATCTTCGATATTGTGTCCTTCGATATTTCGTCCATATGCCGCCATTTTAATGGCTCGCCGATTCTCTGCTCGATAAATGCCACTTCTTCGTCTTCATATGTATTTAGATTACAGTATCCAAGAGTAGTTCATTGTAGAATAGTCCTAAACGAAAAATTGAAAAAATTACTTGCACTTTGAAGGAAAAAACCTCCCACAACAAATTCAGGATAGGAATAAAAACAAATCATTTGAAAGTCACGCGCAATCTTCGCGAAAATTCCTCGTGGCTACTTGACAGGAGGGGGGCGAATATTTTCACGAAACGTTGTTCCCACAGCAACCTAACTGGATGTTTGGATATATTATATTTATTGCATTTTTATGATTGATAATAAAAATACGTAAACATTTAATGTTTTTAATTTTTATTTTTAAATCATAAAATACAATAAATACAATATATTTAGTTGAAACTTGAATTTCTGTGGTGGCGAACGTTTCGTGAAAATATTCGCCCCCCCTGTCAAGGAATTTTCGCGAAGATTGCGCGTGACTTTCAAATGATTTGTTTTTATTCCGATCCTGAATTTGTTGTGGGAGGTTTTTTCGTTCAAAGTGCAAGTAATTTTTTCAATTTTTCTTTTAGGACTATTCTACAATGAACTACTTTTGGATACTGCAATCTAAATACATATGAAGACGAAGAAGTGGCATTTATCGGGCAGAGAATCGGCGAGCCATTAAAATGGCGGCATATGGACGAAATATCGAAGGACACAATATCGAAGATAAAATACACTGCACTGCTCCAAAACTTGCCGAAACTTGGTTGAAATCTCCTTTAGCCATTTGCCATTATGTAAAAGTACAACAACTGGATGTTATTTGCGAGACACGGCGATATAAAGCGAACAGACGGCAAAATATGGCTGAAATCGTGTTTTCGTGGGGGGTAAGTGAAACAAAATATATTATATTTATAGAAAACAGTGACTATCCTTATGAAAACAACAATAATTATATTAAATTAAGCATAGTTTTTCATCCCATGGTAATTTTTTTTAGGAAATAAGGATATTTAATTTCTGCCATGTATATTAGTTATTTTCTGCATAATCAGCAATTTACCTGGGGTGATGAATGGTCATTTTCTTGTAAAATATTATACTTACACAAATTTTTCCTTCCAATAACCACCCCTAAAAGCAACCCTTCTAAACACCATAAGCACTTCAGAAAGGCTGTCGCTTTTGCTTTTCGGAAGTTAGAGCTATGTCGGCACTGCCGTTTCAGGGCGGGGTCATTTTCAGGACTTTCGTCCAGGATTCAGGTTTTTGGCACATATGCCATGTTGACCGCCATGGTCATTTTACCCTAAAACAGTTGAGATTACCTGTGGTAAATGAAACGCATACAAACTCATATACAGGTCCTAGACTACAATGTTTTATCAGATATAAAGATGGTCTGATAAAACACGCATTGCGAATGTTTTAATTAAATTGCTTCAAAAACGATCGATCTAGTATACGTTTTTTGGCGAAGTAACTTTCAAAAAATTCGGTGTGTATATGTAGAGAAAATCATTAAAATTTATGTAAATCAAGGACAAGGGATTTCTCTATCACATATCAAGGATACGAACGTTTATGATTTTTCTTTGTGTTTTCCTCATGCATGAATTATTAATGAGTTTTTGAAGCTATTTTAGACAACAGTCAGTCACAACGTGCACAGAGCTTTTATCTTTTAAAAGACTCCTGAACCAAGGTTGTTTAACGTATTCTGCCGTATAGCAAATATAACATTTGAGCATGTTTTGAAATTTGAAATGTTATTCTTAAAATCATCATCCAACCTCATAGCTGCAATGCCAAGTGGTTATAGCCTCAACTATCTGGTCTTGAATTATACTTTAAAGTGAACAAATAACAAGACAACTATATTAAAGAAATATTCAGGATATATTTAAAATGTATAATTGAAAGATCAAACTTTTCCGTATTCCTTAGGAAGAATCGCGATAACCGGCGTCTTTACCACGTAGCAAATTAATAATATACTTTCTTTGTTCTGCTTCAACTGAATTTCGAAGCCTAAATACTTGAAATATAAGAACGTTTCCTCGAAAGCATTAACAGGCGGCATATTTTAATTTTGATACGTTACTATAAACGCGAGCAAAATTATTGTTGATATTTGAGTTACGTAATTACTTCCCTTAACGAGATTAACCAATGGGGAGCTTTTCCGAAGATTCTTCGGAGAAGAACAAATTAATCATAAGCATTTGGGCAGGTGTTTATTTAACGACGCCCTTTCTTCTCCCGCCCGCACTAAACGGCTGCTACGCAGGCTATGTGGGCAGCAAAACATTGTTCAATCTTGTTTTCATCAGTATTGCATCAACCTGAGCGTTTTTACGCGTGTAAAGTTGACAGGTCTCTCTTTCTCGCTCCGCCTCAACGTGCTACGTCATGTAATGTACACTATATGGGATTGATATGACAATGAAAGAGAGACTTGGAGCAAGCTAACGTGTCGCAAGCACTATCTGCTTGTCTATTCTTGTCTATTGGTCTTTTTGTCAAGGGAGAAAAACTTGTACCACAACCACAGAGTATTATTATTGATTCTGTAACCACAACACGCGACAAAACGTAAACATAGCTCTGATTCAGTGTTGCATGCATATAAAAATTCATTGTTACATGTTATTATATTTACGGAGTTTACGCAATACGGCTTGTGCACGACTTTTACTTTGTTTATATAACTAGCCGTAATATTACTATAAGTGAACTTACTATATGTATAAAGCCGAAATAACAAACTATAAACTTAAAGACCATGTCAAGCCCGTTCTGCGTATCAGTTGTGCTCATAACAAAATAAACAAATGGGGCGCACAGATATAAACGTTGCATCTTTCAAACTTTTTGAATTGAAACGTACTCTAGTTTATGCTCATTTACAATTGCGAACCAGAAACATGTTAGATATTTAGTCAATATGTCTTTATTTACAAATATAGCAGTTCAAAATGTAAACAAGTCCTTTGTCGCTCACATAAAAAATATCACTTGGCATGTTGTACATGCTGTACTTGGCGCAATGATGGTACAACTTTTGGCAGGCATCGCCGCTACTATTTTTATTCTGATCGCTGGAGATATCGCTATTAATCCAGGACCAAGCTTAACCACCGAACAAGTCAGTAGCGTCGGTATGTATAGAAATACACACACATCAAATAAACTTTCTGTTCTATACGCGAACACCCGTAGTATTGTAAACAAGATCGACAAACTGCACTTGGAGATCACCAGTAACCAGTCAGACATTGTGATACTGACCGAAACCATAGTTAATATAGAAGACCGGGTTTGGAAGGCCGGCAAACTTCAAAGCAACACGTGATCAAATGGGATAGCATGTTACAAAGTACGTCACGTGATAGCTTATAGTGCATTCGAGCTGGAATTCATAGTAGAAACTTATAGAAAATAGAGGGATCTTTGCACTGTTAATTTCGAGGAGTCAAATTGACTCCAAAAGTGGAGTAAATAAAAAAGGTACAGAACGACTCCTTTTTTGGAGTAAATTTTACTCCTTTATTTACTCCATTTTTGGAGTAAATATTACTCCATAAGTAGAGTTGTTTTTACTCCTCAAAGAGTAAAAACAACTCTACTTAAGGAGTAAAATTTACACCAAAAATGGAGTAAATAAAGAAGTAAAATTTACTCCAAAAAAGGAGTCGTTGTGTACCTTTTTTATTTTCTCCACTTTTGGAGTCAATTCGACTCCTTTGGAGACAAAATGACTTCTATATATCGGAGTAAAGAAAATTCTTTAACTAACTTTAGAAATCAATACAGACATTTTTCGAGTCAAAATAATTTATTATCCCTACAAGTAAGGTATATTATAGCAGGAAATACAATTTGCTGTAGCATAATATAATGATATACTTTTACACCATATAATATTTAATGAAGTTCTAAAATAAAATTTTGATTAGAATGATATCATGAATACATGCTGAATACAATTACAAGTCTGTCAGCATGAATTGAACCTGCAGCCCTGCAATTCTACCACAGCCCTCTGACCTAAAGAGCCCTTTTGCCAAGAGGTAACCACAAGTTGCTGTATATATACCATGGTGGTGTCATTGGTAGTGTATTAAATAAACTGCCCAGGATGACACTTATTAGTATTATATACATGAACTCTTGGTTACAGTAGAGCTTTCAGATTGACTCTCAGGTCGATGGACTCTTAGGGCTTGTCGGCTTGAGGACCCTTGACGGTTAAAAAGCTGATCAGAATCACAGGGCAGCAGGTTCCATTCCCAGCACAGTACCGGCTATTACATAGTTATCGTTCAAAAAATTTACATTTACAGAAAAGCTTTAACCCATTAAGTGGCAGCACTCTCTCCTTAATGAGCAAAAATTGTCTGACCACATTAGACAGAAAAAATAAAAAAGTAAAGCACATTGCCACTTAAAGGGTTAATATTCTGTTCAATGTAGAATATTTACAAG